TGCTTAATATGTCGTATTTTTTAGTTTTAAATATTTTAAATATTTAAATATTTTAAATTTTCCGCCGAAATTCCCATTTATAACATAATTTAAAAGAGAATTCAAATGTAATCATCTAGTTACGTGCCTCCCTTTAAGTGCTGCTAGCGATAACCTACCTATGAAAATTCAATATACTGTGCTGAATAGGCGGGGCATTTTCGGTCTTGGTCCCTCCCACAATTGTGAGTTTTCGTTAAGGACTTATTGAAGGCTTCGGGACTTATTTCTGGACAATTTTTTTTTCTCTCATCTTGGATAAGATATTCCTTATCTTCAAGATTTTATACACATAGCCTTAAGATAGGTTAAATAGATGTTGTAAAGAGATTTTAGATTTTACAGATTCTACAAAACTTGTCACCGAGGTAGGTTTAAAATTTTTTATATAGGGCGCAGGATGTTAGTATTGGCAACGTTAGTAGCGTTGGAGTTGCTTAATTCAAAGGGATCGAGAAGATATAATAGATATGGACGAAATTGTCAGAGAAATAAGACGAGATTTTGGAAAACTTAAAAAGTTAAAAGTTAAATTCCAAATCTTCTAAAAATCGTCTTAACGTCATTAAAGTTATGACGATTTTTAGAAGGCTTAGAATTTCGCGGCCAGTGGAATTCTAGAAGATAGGAACTCCAAAGAGAGCAGCCGAAATCAGCAAAGGCAGTGAAATTTCAATAAATTTATTAGTTTGGCACGTTTCAATGATTGTTAGTATGGGAAAATTTCTTTTCCGGATGATTATGATTGAATAAAAATAAAAATGGTGAATTCTTCAAAAGCTTGTAATATGTGATGAATGACCGGTCTATAATGGCAAATAATTGCACCAGAAATATTTTTTCGAAAGAAATAATTAATTAAAAGTGTGAAAATAAAAGCTAATTATTAATTAATACAAGTTTATTAATACAAATCAATAAAAGAAATCTTAGTAAGCCTTCCAATAATTATTATAGTTTTTATATGAAACCATTCACTATTTCTGGCAAGAATCGTCTTGTTAGCGGCCACTGGAATTCTAGAAGATAGAAGATAGGAACTCCAAAGAGAACAGCCGAAATCAGCAAAGGCAGTGAAACAAACCAGGCAAATTTATCAAACCATAAATATGGATAAGTCGCCGGTAATTTTTAGAAAATAGATTTACTCATACTGGCAGAAGAATATTTGTACAACTATTCTTATAAGTTATATTAACAATATGCAACTAGCGATTAGCACACTGCTTCACTTATACAGTTCTACTTACCATAATTTTTCATCGTTTATGGAAATAAAATCGCTTATGGAAGGTTGGAAACCTGTGGAACTCTATAATCGATCGATAGCGATAAAGGAAAAAAGAGAAAATTAAACAAAACTTTGATAGTTAATATTCCAATATTTTTTAGAATTTCAATTAAAAATATATTTATTAATATATATTCCTTTGTTTTATTGTTGTTAATCGTTGTTATTAATCGAATAATAAATACATCGACAACATTCGCGCCAATTTATGCTGTTTATCGCGCTATAAAAATATATTCTTTTCATTATTTTCTTGATTATTTTTATATTTTTATTTTTTTATAAATTTTTAATTTTTTATCATATTTTATATTTGATAGGCTTATATATATATATATATATTAATTTATTTATTTATAATCTTTCAAAAAAACTTTGAACAATAAGAAATAATTCACATCTTTATGCTATATTTCTTTCATTAATCTTTATAATTTTATATTGCCAGTATTTACTGACAAATAGTGGTATAAATAGTGATAAATAATGGTATAATAGAGAAATAATAATAAATAGGAAATTTTAATTTATAAAATTAACTTTAACTTTAGTTTTATTAAAATTAACTTTAGTTTTTAATAGAAATCCTTTTTTTCTGGCTAGAAACGCTCCGCTGGTTTATCAGGCAAATTTCACCGAGGTACCAACTTAACAATTGAGATATAAATTGGTCACCAATATCATCCGATCCTATATTATAATATTTTATAAATTTTGGAACATTGATTGGTGAAAGTGATTCACCAAATTAATGAAAAGATTCTTTCAAGGATATTGCAACCCTTGAAGATCTCTGATATTCACCAACACAATATTCTTTATGCATTAATTATGACTTTTTTTTTTTCAGATGGCCCATCAAGTGACAATTTAAATCCCGCCCAGTTCTATTATCCAATCATAAAGATTTAAGCAATTTCAATACCAAAGGCTCCTCCCTTTTGAAAAATTGCGTGATCGCAGTTTACAGATAAGCTTTATATGACCTGTTGCAGGTAAGCTTTCTGCTTATAAATTATAATGAAAATAAGTGGGAGTAGATAAAATAGATAAGTAGGCCTTGGTACCTTAGTACCCTTCCTTAACGGGGATGAATCTGACCATTGAACCATTCAATTCTGAGTGTGACTTGGTACCATACAGATTACTCATTGGTGGAGGAACTCTATTGATCAAGCCAGCAAATTAGAAATAATGAGTGTCACTTAAAATTTTAATTTTAATTAAAATTTTAATAGGTCCTTTCCCTTAAATTATTGCAGTGTTTCTAACTGAGATTTAGCATAAATGAGATTTCAGTAAGATTTTTTCCTTCTAGGTGGATAAATAGTTTTCCCGGGTAGGCCATCATAAATTGTCGTATATCTTGTCTTGCCCTTGCCTCTTCGGACTAAATTATTTCTCATGGAACTTTGTTCCGTTTTTTTTAACCGATGCGCCTTTTTACGTAAAATTTTTACGTAGAATTCTCATACTTTCTCATAACCACAATATGATTCTTCCCATTGTTCATAGAAATTAAAATTTTTTTGTTAAATTTTTGTTAAATTTTTTTAAATCTGGGAAATGAATATTTTTTCCTTATTTATCCTCAAAAATAATAATACGTTCACTAATTTACCTTAAAATAATAAATCATTCATTCTTCATTTGCCTTTTTTATTTTATCTCCTTTACTTCTTTTTAGCCCCACAATTCACTCATAAAAGCTTTTTTCACATATCACACTTATCATACTTCTTGAATTGCTGAAAATTCCTCATCGTTACTTACTTTACTTCATTGTGTTGAAGTATTTTGAAATTTATGAATACAATTCCTCTTAAAATTTTGCAAGACGTGAAAGAAAAAGTTTAGAATAATCAAAATAATTCATGGCGACTTTAGTTAAAATTGATTCTTTGCATGAATAATGTGTAAAAATAAATACTTTTTTCATTCGTTATATCTTTCTATCGAATCAATTTTTAAATCTACTTAATGTGGTCTTATGTGTTCATTCATTAAAACACTAAAGAAAAGATGCAATTATCTAATGAGATGCTTGAGAAATACATTGCTGAACAGTAGAACGACGATTTCTAAGTATTTTAGTTTTTCTATGTATATTTATTTATTAATAATTCCATTCTATAAAGTACTATTTAATTCATTTTCTGAGTATAAATGATAGTTTTTTTTTTCGCATTTTTTCAAAAATTATTCCTACGAAACTGAAATATAAAAATTCTAAATCTATGGATGTAATATATATTTTATGCTATTTTATTCATAAAATTGTTGTTCATTTTAAAGATAAATTTTTCTTCTTCTGATAGGCTTTGCCTTTATCCGAAGATGCCTTTTTTTAGCGAAAGAATGCATCCTAATATTCATCGAAATCAAAAATAGAGTTTATTATTAGAAAAAGAAGTACGGAGTCGTAGTATGCTATTAAGATAATTACACATCGTGGAACAAAGGAATAAACGATTGGCCTGTTTCATAGCTATTCTCTTGAATCAATTTCAGGTAAAACGCGACGCACAAGAGAGACAACATGGCGTAATCTCCTAAGTTTCTTATCATAATAATATTCCATATCGATGATTCGCATAATTTTTATCAATTTCTTAGTGAAATAGTTCTTTTCTGGATGAATCAATTAAAACATGTTGAAAGAATTATTAGTTATTTTATTCAAGGCACTTTTAACTTTAACCAAATTGCCGTAAGCAATTATCGTGAGGATGAGGTAATTTCGTTTTAACGTTGAGAGTGGATACAGATGAACGTAGCATTATTCATGATAACTTCATCACTTTGCTAGTGATTGAACCATGCTAATGGGAATGACAAAACATACTCTCCTCTTCTTTCCTCCTCAATCTTGGAACGTACTTTTTTTCTCTTTCCTCCTTAATCTTCATGACAGATGCTTGCGCAGAAGGCTCATTTCGAAAAAATCTCTTCTCTTTATTCTCTCTAATTTTTATTATATAAAATTTAGTTATATATATAGTTCGGCGCCAAATCTATAATACATTCTTCCATATTGTATTGTAAAGCTAAAAAAGAATTATTTTTGAGATATTTATCATGAAGATTATTGCAAAAAGTGTAATAAATAAGTGATAGAAACAATAAAGAATAAAAGAGAAAATTAATTTCTTTTACTAATATTCATTAGTATTCATCATTCATCGCTTATAGAAATTTAGAAATATACAAAAGTAATGGGAAATAAATATAATAAAATAAATTGAATATATAAATAAAACTTGAATAAGTAAAATTTCGAAAATCCTCTAAATTTTTTTTTTTTCGTTTTCTTACGTTTATACATATATATACAAAATTTATATATATATGTATATATAAATATATATTTGCATTTCGATAACCCGTCTATATACGCATTTCCTCTCGCATTCTCTTCGAAAAGAAATGACCACTGTCCATCTGATCATTCATCACTAACAACTGGCGATTTTTTCTCTCGACACTTTTCCTCTTGTATATTACCTCTTTACTATTCGGGAATATCGACGTTTTTTTATTTTGTGACTGTTTCCCGCTTATTACATTTTTCTTATTTTCAGCGTTTTTGATTACGTGCGCATTCCTCGTTCTATTATTAAACGAAATGAATAAATCCACCTATAACATCGATTTGAATGAATTATTTCAAATGGAGGAAAATTCTTTTCAAGCGACGAATTTAGAATTTTCCACAAATAATCCAAATGTAACTATTAATCATATTACTGAAACAAATATTTCTACAACTGAGATAAGTCCGAATAAATCTGAAATATCGTCTACGACAAACTCATCGGAGTTTATAATGACGACTCCAGCGATTCAAACCAATTCGATAACATTGGCTTCATCGGCGAATGATGCTAAAAATGGCAATAATTTTAGAAGCGTTAATTTATTATGTTTACCCTGCAATTCTTATGAAGCGTCAAGTAATACTTATGAAATAATGACAACCTCAACACCGAATCGTTTCAATCAAAGGACGCATAAATTTGAGCCGATTTATCATGAAGAAGATGATGATTATAAGCCGAATTCAAATTCAACGTATATGAAATCACCGTTAAGCCATGATTCTGCAGCGTCGTTATGCCAAGAGCAATATTACCCACAATACATTGTTGAAAATCCTATGCCATCCTATAGTTTTCAAATGAATTCCAACTTTGTTGAAGTACAAAGTTTCGAAGGAGGAGGAATTTATTCAAATAATGGAGCCACAGATTGTAATATCAATTCATCTTGGAATTCTCATTCAGCTCCATTATATTCTTCTCAGGCTTTTCCATCGCTACCCGATGATTTTCAAGAAGCAACCACTTTGCACCCTTTATCGTCACAAAATTTTGCCTCCTTCGATGGAGCAAATGAAATATCGGACATAAACAATGTTCATCTAACAACTGATAATTTAATCCCAAGTACAGTTCAAGAATGCGTTCCAACGAATGCGCTTCCAAGTTTATCAACGTTTTCTCAACGAAATGATGGCAACTGTATGAATTATACGAGGAATTTTAACAGCATTGTTTATACTAATCAGGATTTATCAAAAAATATAACGTCGAACGTTCCTCAATCATCAGAACATTTCATTGCCCCCGATAGCACGGATAGTCCATTTAAGAGAAGAGGGGGCACTCGTGGTAGAGGCACTCGTGATTTACAAAAGAGTCGCCAACCAAGAGGCACAGGTAATCCTTTACGAAATTTTTTTAAAAATTTTATTGATAGTATTAAAATTTTATTGATACTACCGTAGTTTCGTTGGTCAGCTGCGAAATTTAATGGCCATTTAATTGAATGAATTTTTATATTTAAACAACCTTTCTTTCTTTCTTTATTATTTTCTCCTATAGTTTACGCAAAATCATTCAAACTTTAAATGATATTTCATTTCAACGATGTAAAAAAATTTAGCTGAAAAATATTTTTGTCATTTTTTCGTTTTTTTTTTTTTGTAAAATTTAGCAACCATTATGAATTGTGTTTTTGCAATTTAAATTAAATTTGCAATTTTTTCGCGATTTTTTAAAAAATTTTTTAGCACGATCGGAACGAAACTCCATTGTTCAGAGCACCTTAATTTGTGCTGTTTGTAAGGATAGTGCAACGGGTAACCATTACGGTGCATTAACATGTGAAGGTTGCAAGGTATTTCGCAAATTTTTAAATTTTTATTTATTTAATCCATGCCAATATAAAATTTTAATTCATTTATTCGATATTTTAAATAGATAATGAATTTGTGAAATTGCCTGTTTTATATTTATATTTATTATATTTATATTTATTTTTTTATATTTATATTTATATTATATTTATATTTATATTATATTTATATTTATTTATTTATTTCTTTTAAGTGGTGTCTATCTATTTGATATAAAAGTATCAAAAAGTTAATTCGTTTGTTTTAGAGTTTCTTCCGTCGTTCTCACAACAAAACGGATCTGCAATGTAAATGCAAAAATGTTGCTCAAGAAATTACGAGAGCGACACGGAATAATTGTCCAGCGTGTAGGCTTGAAAAATGTAAAGCAGTAGGAATGAGACCAAGTGGTGAGTTTTGCAAATTAGTAATTTTGATTGTTGATAACAGATTCCTCAAATTAGGAATTAATAATGATGAAATGGTGTAATTTGATGGAGAGATTTAATTTATTCAAAAATAGCTGTGGGGAATATTTATTTCATGGAATATTTCGGGAATCAAGCTGTTAATTCAGCTATTCACCTGTATAATAATTTAAAACGTTGATTTTTGAAAAAAATTCTCTTCAAAATCTTTCGAAACAATTATAATTCTTTATTTAAAATCATCTTCCTTTTAACTTGAATTATTCCTTCTTAGGATAGTTTCCACTTCTAATTATCCCAACTCTTCAATATCTTCTTAGTTTTTATCTAATAATCCTTCAAATCTTTCAAATCTAATTTTATCTCGCTAACTGGGAGCTTGTTATACCCTCTTGACACCCCTCGAAATGTTGCTTACTTAGTTCTTCCATCAAACTTTACTGCATACTTCATAAATCATGAACTCAGTACCATAATCTTAGCTTTTTGAATATAGTTAATTTTCCATGATTGATGACTTATTCAGGAATTATAAAAAAAAATTTATAGAAAGTTTATGCTTTGTTGAAATTTTAGCTTTATCTAATATAAACTATCCAGCTATTTTAAGCTAAGTTAATATTTAGAGCATGAAAAAGGGCGAAGAAATCGACGGCAAGCATCTATGGCAAATACAATAAGTCCTAATTCACGCACTGACATTCCTCAAAATAATAGTGATTTTCACGTCGTTATCAATCCATATAATATTCAACACGTTAACGAACCTCTTAATGTTGTTCATCAAAACTCACATAATGAAACTAATTTTGTTTGGAATGAATGAACAAAATATACTTTTTATTTTTTTGTATATTTTGTATATTTTTACATTATACATATTACTAATTTAAGCATGAATTATTTTATGGTTTCTTTTATTTTTTTTTATTTCATTTATTTTATTTTTATATATTTTTGCAAATCATAGTATTTTATTTTAACAAATAGCATCTTAGAATTGCTTTTTTCGCTAGTTTATACATTTCGCTAGTTTATACATTCTTTTTTTTTTTTATCTTCTGGTGCTATTGGAACTTACTTGTTTATTACTTCTGAAATTACGTGGTACGTGATTTAATCACGAATAAATGACTTTTTTCTTGTTGTTCTAACTTACTTATAACGCATATTTTAATTCATATAAACCTTGATGAATCGTTCGAATTTTTATTTAGTCTTAATCTATTTTAATTGGCAGTTATGATAGCATCGTTATGGTACCACAAACTATTACCACCGGCATTAGCCTAAAGTCAATAGTGAATAATTTAAAGCAAAATCTTCTGAACATTTCATCAACTCAAAATCACTCAAACTAAAGAAAAAGATATTTGAGCGACAGAATTTTGAAAAATACTTCCATGTAAATTGTTGGCTTTAATAATATATAATATATTTCACTCATCATGACGATTTGACGAGAATGCCTTTGCAATCTTTCAAATGTTTAAGAAATTAGTTATTTTCGATAGATGTAGATGTATATATATCAGATGAATGAATGATTTTATATCAGAATGATTTTAAAAATTACAATTATATTTGGCAATTATAACTATATACATTTAGTAAAATTCTGATAATCTTTCGAACAATTCGAATAAAAAGATTAACGAAAAAATTTAAAGATTCACTTTTCAAATATTTCAAATATTATATAATAATAGGATAGAGCATAAGAAATCTTAGATTTCAATTCTCCTTGTTCCGCTTTAATGCTTTAACCTTCCGAGTTTGTAAAGCATCTATATTTTGATTACCAACATGCACACGAGCAAGTTTCGTTCCAAAAACATTATTTGATAAGTTTTTACGAGGTTTTGCCTGAAATAGACGATAATTATTTTATATAACAAATCAGAATAATTCTGAATTACGTATCTTAATATCATATCATTATTATGCCAAATCAAGAAATTACCAAAACAAAAAAATTTAAATTTTGCGAAAGGAGATCTCACTTAAATACAATCGCTAAAAAATGATCAACTTACAATAAGCTGCTTCGGTTGCTTTAACGCTGTTTTCAATAGATTTTCACTAGCCAATTTCATCCTTTGAACCGAAAAATCGATTCGTGGTCCTGATTCTAATAATTCTACCCGAGGAACATCACTTGTTGAATTTTTCAGACAAATTCTAATAGAAATAATGAAAAAGAAAGTTGTGATTTTTATTGAAACCGAAAATTAGTTAAAAAAATTAGAAAATTAGAAAAAATTAGAAAATTAAAAAAACCTGTAAACTCGAAAAAGGATCTTATCAAAAATCGCTGTAAGCGAAATTACAGTTTCAAGACCTTCCAGGCGGATGCTATTGACAACAGAACCACGAAGCCAATCGACCATAAGATTTCCAATCCGCCGAAACGGATCGGATTCAAAGGAATCACCTTGAAGTATTATACAAGGCTTTTCCCCTAAAATTGCATGTGGGACCTAAAAATAAATATTTACAAGACAATGCTTATTGAATAATAACCAAAAAACTAACAAAACTTTACAATTCTATAATATAACTATAAGAAGTATATTTTCATAGAGTTATAAAATCGTCGCATTTACAAGTAATGCATCTTATATGAAAAATAGAAAAGTGCACTTAATAAATAAAACCTTAAATTCATTTGAAGGAACAAATTTCTCTATGCGCAATTCAACCATATCGAGAATATGATAATCATACATTCGACCAAATATTAAACTATTCGGATGTTTCTTAGAATTCGAACCAAATAAAAAAAGTGATGAATCAAATTTCATAGAGAATTTTTCGATACTCGTATCATCTTCAAATGGATGGTATGGATTTTTCCTGAAACGATTTCTAAAGTTCGAAAAGGAAAATTCAAGAAAATATGAAATAAAGAAAAAAATTGAGGAAAAGGTGCAAGAATGAATTATTCTGCAATTATTATTTCGTTTACTTCTGTTTAAATGACATCCTCATAAGATATTTGGTAAGAGAACTACTGAAGGTTCCCTAGCATATGATCATTTCAATCATTTACTTATGGTTTATCATTTTCCAGCATGGATACGAACCAATTCCTCATAAAATTATAAACTAAGCGATAAGGCACATAGGAATTGCGCCATATCCAATCCGACTGTCTTATATTAAATTCCGTTAAACTTAAGGTATCTGAAATTTAGAAATTCGAAAAGCAAAATTCAAAAAAAAAAGGAAGTAAAGAAGAAGAAGAAAGAAGAAAGAAGATGAAAAAAGCGCAAGAATGAATTGTTTTACATACTTTTTCAATTGTTGAACGAGTGGTTTTTTTAATAAATAAAATTCGCGTAATGCACTTGAAACAATCGAATTCGTTTTGCCACCTTTAATGATAAATGCCATTTTATCATTTTCGATTATTTTCGGTTCTCGATTCATTAAAAATTTTTTTCCACGACGCGTCTTTGCTTTACTTAAAAAAAGAAAATATATACGATTTTAATTTTTTATGAAAATATGAAAAATATAAAAAAAAAAAAGAAAATCATAAATATGAGTGAATTTAATTTTTTGGACGAAAAATATAATCTGAATGACTTTTTTTTGCCATAAGAATAAAGTTCCTTTTTGAACAAAAATAAAGATTTAAAATGAAACAATAATTGCATTTTATTAAAAAAAAATTTTCCAAAAATCCAAAAATAATACAATAGATAAATAAATAATAAATTCAATAAAAATATAAAATTAAGATAGAAAAAAATACTAAAAGACAAGCGAAGGATTTTTTTCTGTCAAAAATAATTTTTTTAAAGATTTAATAAATTTAGTTTATTTATTGTCTATTTGTTTATTTCTTTTATTAATCATTAAAAAATTCATACTAAATTTAAAAAAGAATTTATTTAAAAATTTAAAAAAAATTTATAAAATCATTCAGCCATTGATTCTTTGATTGATCTTAAATCGCTAAGAAAAAATGACGAACCATATACGATTGTATGGTACCATTGTTGATTATTCAATTCAATTCGATCAATGACGACTGAAATCCTGAAATTAGTTTAGTTTGAGGTTCTTATCAGATTTGTAACTTCTGCTAAGATTCACGTACAAGTAGAAAATGCAAATTCGTTAGCTTAAAATCGCCACAACCAATTGCGCTTAAGATCTTCCTTACGTGATTCTTGGGTGATAAGGTAGCAAATAGGAAGCTGATAAAATTCAAGTTGAATCTAACAGAAATTGAAATTAATATATACAGAAGCCAAGTTTTCTTTTTGAGACTAATTAAGAACTTATATAGCTAAATATTATTTGATAGGCAAACACTTATCTATTGCATAGAAATTATTGGTTAATAAATAATACAACGATGAAAATGCAAAAATACGCTAATATCATCCATAAAAGTTCTACTTATTAATCCTCATAAACGACTATGATGAAACGCTTTCACGGGATTTAATTGGATAGAGACGACTTATTGAGAGTTCTTCAATTTGTGAGCATTTTAAGTCATTTATTTGTGGTTTATTTCTGTTATGGAAGTCAATTAAACCAGTCATAGGATATAGTCAGGAAAGATTTTGAACAGTCAGTATAGGTGGTGGATCAGCGATATATGGATTTAGAAGATGGAAAAAAGAATGACTTCTATTTCTACTAGCGAGACATAGTCAGATCGAGCAGCTTGGATACGTTATCTTTATAGCCAGTGGAACCAGCCTGAAGAGTAACCAGAAGAAGGAGAAGAAACCAGTTATATAGATAAAAATAGTAATAAACTAAGCGATAAAGCGATAACGTCTTCCTCTAACAGCTCTCACCGTAACTGATTAGGCTGATTTCGCTGACTACAATGCTAAGATATATCTCCAAGCTATTCGATCCGACACCATCGCTAGTCGTAATAGATGCCATTCCTTTTTCCTTTTCTTTGAAACTAAACGGTAAAGGGATTGTTCGATATCCAATAGTGGTGTTGTTTTATATGAAAATCAACGCCTATTCTGTTGATATTTGTAAAAAAATTTGGTCAACAAATTCTTATAGAAAACAAAAATCATCAAAAACAATGCTAATATTCGCATAATTCAGTGAATCGTTCATATTTAATATAATAGATTCGACTTAATAGCCTAAATCATCAAAAATTTCCAAAAAAAAAACACAATTTTTATATTGGAATTAAAATTGATACTACCGATTTTTAATGTTTATTCGCTTATTTTGATATTTATTAAAATATTGAAAATTTAAATTATTTGCAAAAATATAATAAATTTCTCATTTCTCATAATAATTTTCATTGATTTTTTTATTATTTTATTTTTCGTAATTGAGAAGATTTTTCCACATAAATAATAATTAATATAATATAATATAATAAGCCATAATAATAGATATTCTATGAATCAAATATGAATTCCGATTTGCATGACCCGTCAGTTCCGTATGAAGCGCATTCTAATAATACTATAAATAAATATTCTAGGGAATATCCTTGGTAATAGATGTCACCAGCATTATCTGGATTTTTAGGATAAGTTTATTCCTGCTGGGAATAGAGCCTTAATATCGACACTTCGAATTGGGTAATTTACTGAACCAATCAATCTATTCTGCTTTGTTAGGCGACCATATCACCTGATGAAGGTGGTGTGTCAACAAATTTGAGCCGAAGCTTCGATTCTCGATCGCAACTATCTTGAGCTACGGACGCACCTTTTGAGCAATATTTAATTGGAATAAATACGTGGTGGATGCTGGGATCTCTCCAACTATCCCTGGTTAACTAGTTTGCGAAAATGCTAAAAGGTTTATATAACACCTTAGTGAAAATGTATCTGCAAAAAAAATTCATTTTTAATTCACCTAAAACCGAACTGGCAGCTTTGAGATTCTAAACATGATAATTGATCGAGTCATATATTATTTTTACGTTAAGGATAAACAGCTTAGATTTTATTTCTTGATGGAAGAAAACTAATCATAATTGGTGAAATATGAGTGCTAACTAAAGGCTCATCTTGACCTATTTTCCCAATTTTATTAATAGATAATTTGAAAAAAAAAACTATTCCGTAAAGCAAACTAGGAAAACTCAATAAAGTGATAATAACTGATAAAATTTTGATACTGAAAATTTTGATTTTAAAGATTTTTTAATTAATAAATATAAAGATATTAATATACATAAAGATTTTAAAAGAATTTTAGTTAAAAAGATTATGTAATTTAATGAGATATTTTCAAAAGTGAAATATAATTTAAAATGATGAAGCTGAGAATCAATAAAAGAATATAAAAATTTGTTGATTTTGTGGTTTTCAAAAAAATTTAGGAAGCTACAAATTACAAAAATGTATTTATTAGGTTTTGAGATATTTTTGTGGATTTAATTGTAGATTTTTTGTTTCTCAGTCTTTTTTTACATACCTTGGAATATTTTGAAAAATTTGACACCACCTGACTTTTACTCCTTTTCTAAGCTTTTCAATATATGAGCTGACATAATTTAATACCGATAAAGGTCTCCTCATTTATTAAACAAAAAAATCTTTTTCTCACTCCATGTATGTGATACAAGTCATCTTCAATCTCGAATCTTCTACGAGAGGCCTTGGAGATTGAGGATTTCGCGCAATGTTGTTTCTAATAGTGCCCTCTCCTGGATAGAGATGTTCCTAAATTTGCTGAAGCCACTTTTCTTAATTTAATTTAGAGACCATATTTCCAAGTTGTCATTAAAATTACTTTGGCCTTCACTCTCCTTATCTTTTCTTGTTCCACTTTCAGCCCTTTGGTGTTTTTTTAACTTTCCATATTCTTTCTTCAATATTTCAATCATTTGATACTTAATATCCATCACCAGTGTTGATTTATGATTCTTGTCTATTACCACGATATCTGGTTAGTTGGCCAGTAATTGCTTATCTATCTGGATGGAGAAGTTTCACAAGTTTCTACGATTTTCTGAGGAATCTCCTATTTAATCTTGGAGAGGTCTAAGCCATATATTGAATAGATGTTCCTGTAAATGATGCTAGCTACTTGATTATGTTCTTCAGTGCGTTTTGTTCCTGCTTGCATTTTACATCCTGCCACTGTGTGTTGGACTATCTCCGCGGCATTTTCGCACAGTCTGTATGTAGAACATTGTTTAGCGTCGCAGATTCTTGATGGGTCTGGTGGGGTGTGGTATGCCTCTAATGCCTCAGTATTGTCTTCCAGCTTTTTCCAATCACTGGTAGAATTTCTCCTTCAGCTATCTTAGCTAGTATTTTTTATCTCCATTATTTATGATTAAGTAAATCAGAAATAATGAATTTATATAATAAATTTTTTATTATCCAATATTTTGTGAAATATTTTTGTGCATTTCATAGAATTTGACAGGCATTATAATCGTTTCGAGGATCCTGATTTTCTACTCCATAATCATCTTTCACTTTTTTTAGATGATCCTTGTCGATCTAAATTTGTGTTATTAATTTATGAAATAAAATTTTTATCTAAATTTTAATCTGCATTTTCTTCCTCTATTTTAAATAATTGCATGATTGCTATTTTTTGATAAATCTTACGCTTATTTTATACGATTAGAGGTCATTAAATTTTTTATGTATTGAAAGCAAGGTCGACATAGCAGATAAGCTTACAAGTAAATTTAAATTTCAACCGACCAGTTCACATATAGGTTGGTCGTTGTTCTCATAATGATGTGAATGTAAAAATTTTCGAGAAAATAAGAGAGCGATATGGAATAACTGTATAGTCTGCGGGCTCGGAAAATGTAGAGGCGTGAACATGAGATCGAGTGGTGTTTTCTAAATTGCAATTTTGATTATAGATACGGATTTTATAAATTAGTAATTAGTAGTTTGAATTGGCATAATTTGACGGAAAGATTTAATTTAATTTATTCAGAATTAGCAAAATGATATCATAATACATGGCAAAGTCCCTTTTTAATCCCATATGAGAGGTAAAGTGACCACCCTCAACCTCTGGCTCTCCACGTGAGGCCTAGAATATTGAAAATTCAGCATTTCGCCGTTCATAGACATAAGTGGACAGAGGCGTTGCTCTTCTGATATTCTTCCTGGAATGTGTTGAAGCTATTTTTCTAGTCATAGCTGTTCCAATTATCCCTTGGACGATTTTGGCCTTCATTTTCCACATCTTCTCTAGTTTATCTAATTTCTCATTTTCTCCTTTCTTAGCTTTCCGATCATTTGGTATTGCAATATCAGCAGTGCCAATTTATAGTTCTATCTCAATTTCTGATTAATTAGCCACAACTTGTTTGCCGGAATGCAAAGGTTCAAAGTTCGCCTCATCAGAAGATTTTTATTAATCAATTAGGGACAAATGAAGAAGAGTTTGATAAGATGATAAGACAATTTTCATAAGAACCACAGGCCTAAGGTATTTCTCTTCATCGAAATCCGATATAAATATTAATTTCTCGATTTTGATTTTTATTTTTGAGCTTTTTGTTCATTTATTTATTTATTTATTTATAACCAGCCAAGCAGGGCGACAACGCCATGTGCTTGTATTAATAATAACAGTTAAAATAACAGAAAAAGAAAACGCAAAAAAAAAAATAACATGAACAAAATTAATTATAAAACAATATGACAAAAATTAACAATTTAAAGAACAATTCGAAGGAACATATATATAAATAACCTATATATATACGATATATAACCTGAAGATAAAATCAAGATTTCTCACTTCCTGCAGTTCTTGCCTGGTGTAAACTCTTCTCTTTTTTTTTTTTTTAAATAATATCGTAAATGATATTATCTAGTCCTTTTTTAAAGACAGCTAAGGATGACGCACAAGCTACATCGTTCGGTAATTTGTTCCAGTAGTTAATAGTACGAATAAAAAAGTTATGAGCCCTTAGTTTAGTTTTGCATATAGGTTTTAGTAATTTTAAGCCATTAGCCATTCTTGTTGGATTCAAATTTAATC